GTAAAATTTTCATTAAATTACTGCTATTACAGTTCGCTCTCCAAACACTTCATTTATCAACTCAGTGATCTTAAATGTTTTCACAACGGTAAAGACTCCAGACCGTTTAGGACCTTTTCTCCTGTTCTTCAAATGGATGCCTATACATTTGGTAGTAATAAGTTTATAAGAAAAAAAAATTCCCTTTGAATAAAAATTTCGAACATGAACAGTGAGAAAAGCAAAATTCCTTTCATTGAAAGTTATGAAACTTTCCTTTTATGTAATGATTCATGTAGGACCAATAAAAATCCCTTCAAGCTATCAGAATCTGATTACCTTAAGAAATATATGTTGGTATGCACAATTTTTGAATCCTTATTCTCAGAAAAGAGACCGCACAGAAAGGATAAAACAATGGTATGGAAACTTACCATCCTCTCCAACTGGACTCTTTATTGCAGACTTATTGCTTCCATGTGTTTTAAAAAAGGCAAACCTTTAAGCCAACCACAATCCCTAAAATCTTTGGCACTCTTATTAAGAACTGAATCCAGAAGAAAAATAAATAAGCTATTTTTTATTATCACACAATTATTATCAGAGTCAAGCTTATTTTATCATTATAGGAATGCATCAAAAATTAATAATAAAGGTTGGTTTCTTCAATGCTTAAAGAAATTAGGCTACTTAAAGCTGCTAAAATACTACAGATTATTTGGTCTTAGCATTTAAATAAATAACGCCTGTGTTGAACACTGCATTCTAGAATATATAATATAAATTAGTTTGAGGGAATATTAAAATTAATGAGGTTGATGCTTCCTTTGTACAGGAAAGAGATTTTTTTTAAAAAAACTCTGTGGTTGCATAAAGCTGAGGAAGACAAGCATCACATAAAATTAATTTACGTAATTATCTGAAATTAAGAAAACTTTGCTCCACCTACACAATGACAAGGTCAGTGAATTACCTACACACTGTTGTCTTTGCACTTTTCCACAAATCAGGGTGCACAAGGCACACCTTCAAGAAGGACTTCAACTTTCTCGATGTGTTAAAAGAAAGAAAAGAAGGAAAAAGTTCCCTCAATCCAAAGTGAGAACAGATGGGAATGTAAAATTAGATGGGAAGAGACAGTGAAGCTTTGGATGACTGACCAAGAAATCTTTCCCAGAGGGGGGCCAAATACACCAGACTTCAGCTTGTTCTGTCTTCCAGACTAAGCCCAATAGAAATGGAAATCAGTCTTAGATTAATTGCCCTGTTTTTTTATTTTCGTAAGCATTCATTTCCATAGAGAGTTAAAGACAAAGTTTAAAAGAAACTGTTAACAAATATACTTAAAATTCTGTCTTATCAACAGAGTCTAGTTGGTTTTGTGAGTTTACCATTACTAATGCTAAGATAGTTAACAATTTTTTTTTTAAATAATAAAATAAAAAACTAGGGCTGGGGTGGTAGCTCAGTGGTAGAGCAATTGCCTAGCACATGTGAGGCACTGGGTTTGATCCTCAGCACCACATAAAAATAAATAAATAAAAGTATTGTGTACATCTACAACTAAAAAATATTTTAAAAAAGAAAGAAAGAAAGAACTGTATGAAAAAGAAGCTACGGTATGAAGAAACTTAAGATGTGGACACAGCACTCCTTGTCTGATGGAAGAGCCATCTGCTGTAAATTAAAGAGTTATGTAAATAAATTATGACTACATTTTATATTCATTCTTTTCATATTTTATCTGTATTGCTAAAAATAATCTATAATAGTAACGCTAATAACAAAATAACACTATAAAAAATGTTCCTTTGATATTTAATTTTAGGTAGCACTTTGTAAATTTTTTATCTAAAAATACCAATTGTAAACTCAAATGGATATTCTCTGTAGGGCTGCATTCCCTGCAATATTTTTTAAATGTGGGCAGAGACATAAATTTCGAATGAAACAATATTTTGGATTTTCAGGCATTCTCAAACATTAATGTATTTTTAAAAAGTAATTCTATCATTAATAATCGTTCTTTTAAAAGGTCATTTTAAGAGCAACTTTGCAGGATTAACCAGAGGTTTTTGAAAAGCTATCAGATTTCTTTCACAAAATAGTGCCTGTGGAGCAAAACAAAACAAAAAAATAATCTTTTTTACTCATGTTCATATAAAATTTAGACTCATTGGTATAATAAGAATATCTCAACATTTTAATCCACCATACTCAAATTTATATATCATTCTCATCCATAATTTTAAGCTCCTTTTCCAAGACAACAATATATATTCTCTGTGTACATTTTTCCTGCCATCTCAGAGAGTTAGCTTTCAATATATTAGTCCTGTTTTATCTTTTCTAATCTTACCAGTTATACATGACCAGAAGAAATACAGAAATATCCATCATTCCAAGTGGTGACAGCAACTGCACCTCACACTTAAGTGATTTCAGTTTAAACAATTCTAGGCACTGGTAATTTGATGCAAGTGTTATTATACAGAACAAGGCCATGGAGACGATGCTGCATATGGTACATTGCATATAGTTGAGTATGTGCATTAAACAATTACTGAAAAGTAGATTTCACTATTCAGATCACTCAAAATTATATAGAAACATTACTAAAAAAGAATTAAAATTTTTTCAAATGATTATTTTTTTAATTATCCTTGTCAACAAACAAAAGGTGCACATATCAGGCTCACTAAGATATATTAAAATTCATTTCCTACACTCTCTATTTGTACAAATAAAATCCAAATTAAACAAAAACAACTGTGTACATTTTCAAATTCACCCGCATATTAATAAATCAAAATTCTAATTACCCAAAATATTAAATGCAGATCTCTCTACAAATGTTACAGTATTGCCTAATTCATTTTCTGGTTCACTGGTTGAGTAATTTTATCATGAAAAGTACTGCACTTTATAATGAATCCAAAATTTCTATCTTCCTCTTGGGGGACAGTGGACTTTGAATAAAGAATGCATATGAACACACTTAATGTTTACTCAGGATTCCTGTACTACTTCCAGATCTTCCCTGTCTTTATAAAAACGGGTAAGTCACAAGCACTCTGGATGATAAACACTTATCTGTAAAAGGAATACGGCGGGTTTAGATCAGTATCTTTCCAACTACAGACTGTGGACATCTGAGGATTTCTTGGGGGTCTAAGAGGATTGCAAAATGCCGTGATATAGCATCTTTGTATGGTATAAATACGATTATATTCTGGATAATCTCACTGACAACCCCCAATATTGTCACTAGTTTCAATATATAATTTTGATATTTTATTTATGATTTTTGGTGTTAGCTGACTATGTTTAAACTCAATACACTGTTTCTCAAACAGGGATTCACTGATATATTCTTGGGGCTTGAGAGACATTTTTCCATAAACATGAGTCTACATATTATTCAAAACCAAGAGACACTAGATTAGATCATCATTCAAATCCTTTACAGTCTGAAAAATATATTATAGTCTATGGCAGCCTACCAATAATTTATGGAGATCAAATTTTAAAAGCATACTTAGAGAAAGCAAACTTCAGGAGAGAAGTTATAATTTCTAATTCTAATTGTGTCCTCCTGGTTTTCCCTATACAATTATATGCAAATGAACTTTAAATATAACAATAAGCAGTCAATGGCCAAAACCAAGCAGGGGTGTCAAAGTTTCTATTAGCAACCGTCATTATGATTTTAAATGGTTCAATACACCACATCTTAACTAAGAGTCAGAAAATCTCGTTTCTTTTTCCAGTTTTGCCTCTGGCTTGAAATAACATCTTGGTATTATAGTGATTTCATTCTTGCAACTCTCATTTTTTACAAATTCAGTATATAATGCTACTCAATGAATAAAGTATACGTAAATACCAGTTTCCTGTGGCATTTCAATAATATTAATTGGATAAACAGAAAAACACCGTATCTACAATATACAAATGTTAGCTTTTCATAATTTTTTCAGTGACTCTATATACGACAAAAGTAACAGTAAAATTTTTTGATTGAATGCAATTGTAGATAATTTTGAATTAGCTTTGGAAACATTTAGGCTTAAATTTGCTTAATCTAATTGAAAAATAAATGTAATTGTATAATTAGCATTTAAAAATATTTTACTGGTAAAAATCATTGTTAAAATCTTAAAAATAAATTCTTACCATTATTTGACTACCATAATTTCATATAAAGTTATTAATCCACACACTTTTAAAGGAATTCTCTACTTGTATCTTAAAAATTAAAACATGTTAAAACCAGTAAAGAGAAGTAAAATATTTACAAGCTGTAAGAAATTCTGAATTTAAAATGCATGTACTTCACATTGAAAATAATGTTTTTAGTTTAAAAAATCAGGAAAAATAAAACTCCTTTAAATTATGTTATGCATATCTATGATACAAATGTGAATAAAAGTTTTAAGTAAAAATCCTTCAAAGAGGTATATAGGATATTTTTCTGATATGTTAAGGGAACATTTTAAAAAGGAATAAATTTTAAACCATTTCTAAAGCATTGCTGATAACAAAACAATTTAATTATTAAATTAATAAATTATTTCGTAGTTATTTACTGAAATTTAAATTACTGATTTCTGGTGGATTCACTTTTGGAAGGTGAAGGCTAAGAAAATCTAAGGTCAATTTCACAATCAACCCATTTCATAACAACCTTAAGCTTTATTAAAAGAGAATTATCCGTTTGAAATTTAAAAGAGTTTTCTTTTCTTGTTAACCCAGCAAATGTAATAGACATTACTTTATTAAACTCATTTCAAACTTTCTTCTTCCCATAAAGGATTTCTCCTTCTTATTTTTAAATTTAAAAATTATTTTCTAGAAGATGTAATTATACCATTAACTAAAGGACAGAACAGTAAGAATGAAAAATGTACACTTCTAAAAAGTGCACGTTTTTATATACTATGATAAGTAGTTCCTTTCCTTCTGGAATAAAGCACGTACCACTGCACAAATGTTAAAAATCAGTGCCAACAAGTTACTACCTGAACTGTAGAGCTGATCTCTGACGCAAAGCCGCCTGTCAAGGGAGCCTCATGACTGATTAGCAGCCGCCCTGTTTTGATCACAGACTGAAAGAGAAAAGGAAAACCTGATGTTGAAGCAAATACATATTTAAAATATATATTCGTAGTTTTAGTTCAGCAATGACATTAAATTTAAATTCAATAAATAATATAAAAATCAGTCAGTCAATTTTGTCTCTAATTTAAAGTTACAACTCTCTTTTGACTGGATAATCTTCAGATTTTTGTACTGTTAAAAAAATTTTCAATATAGCTTATAATCCTAGTACAAAAAAATTGAGATTTGTAATTGTATATAGTATGCAATTTAAAAATACATGTCTATTATAGGATATTTTGTGTTACAAGTGCAATAACTATTCCAGGTTTTCATATCTTAGTATCAATTATTTTTTTTCACATGACCTTAAGAATAAAAGTAATATGTGGTGGCATATATTTGCATATAAATAACAAGAGTGTTGGGATATATTATGTGGATAAGCAAAACGCGAAAATAGCATAAAAAACTTGGAGCAAAGGAAAAAGTCTAATAAGGTATTCATAAAAACAGCAATAAGAAATTACTACAAAAGTAAAAAGGGTTGACTCTCTTCATTAACGTGCAATAAAATCTGCTTAATGGCCACAGTTCCAATGAACATGAAAAAAGTCCCACAGTTCCAATGTAACATTAAAAAGGTCACAAAAAAATAAGGATAGATTCTTAGTTGTTCAATGTGGTTACTCACACTGTGCACGATATACTCTGTACAATAATAAATCAAAAAGTATAGCTATGATATCACCAGCAGCATGCCAGCTGTGTTGTGAGGGAAACTATTAACACCAACCAAAAGTTACTGCTTAAAATACACTGAACAATTACCATATTACCACAGAGAAGTGGTGATTTTATCTCTAGACTTCAGACAATTTGTTATCACGTTTTTTAAAATCACTGCTATTATTTTGTGAATGTGAAATGAAATCTTCCAAGCAAAACTGTGTCTAAAATAAAAGATTTCATTCATTCTAGGCAATTATAGTTTAGAAGTCAGAATATGCAGCAGTTTCAGCCAGCAGATGTTAAACCCCAAGATATGGCCAATAGTCATGACAAAAATAAGTTACCGTGTCTACTAAGTATATAGTGACTGAGGAACATAAACTTTTATGAACACCTTAATGAATATCACCCCACGTCCAATGAAATACTAACCTTGGAGTATTGATATTTAGCTTTTTATGACTGAATAATTATCCCATTTGCAAAAGTCACAAATTAAATCTTAACATACGGATTTGGATAGAAATACTCCACATCAAGAAAAAAAACGTGTCTTCAAAGCATTCTCTGAAAGATGTTCGGCCTTTAAGATTAATCAATTTTAAAACAACAGATTTGACAATCAACTTTATTAAAGTTCTGAAACTGAGAACTCTGCCAACATAAAAGGATGATATGGCCAATATCCATCTAAATGTTACATCTTAAATTTCTTGCAGATAGAAATAAGAAACTTCTATAAAAATGCAGCTCTTACCCTAAAAGCCCACACAATGAACTGGTCCTTTTTACCTAAGCTCAGGCATATGCAAGATCAAATGACAACATTTAGAAAGACTCCTGAACATCAACAAGCAACCCACAGCCTCTAGAGTGAAGCTAAGCATAGATGCCCCAGGACAACAGCTTCCTGAGTTTGGGATTCATGCAACATGACATAAGTACATAGATGGTATCTGAGACCTGAGTGTCCTTCAGCAGGGAAATGGCTAAGGAGACCGGAGACCAAGACACATCAAAGCAGTGGAGTATTATGTGGTCATGAAAAAGAGTGAGGATGTGGAGAGATGCCCCTAATTAATAAGTCAACTGGTAAAATAAGAAGTTAGAGGTCAACATAATCTCTTTTTCTAAAAAAAACCACAACAATGGAGACACTAAGAAACACATCTTTTCGACATGTATACTGAGCCTACATGTATAAATATCTACAACATTTCATTCCAAATTATTCAAAATGGTATCTACTGAGAAATGATAGTGGCATATGAGTGCAAAAGAGCCATTTCACTTTTTACTTTATGTATTTTTAGGTTATTAAAAGTATTCTCAGTAAGTATAAAATTTTTAAAAAAGAAAGTCTTTGAATTAATATTTAAGGTAACAAATATATGTGACATTAGTCATAATCATATCAAGAAAAAGAATGATTTTTTTAAAAATAATAATCCTTTAAGATGAGCTTCAGAAACAAGGAAATCCTAATGTCCCAGACTCCAGCACTAAAAACCCAGGGAACCAGTTTTCCCCTTCTGCTCTCTTTGTGATCTGCTACACGTCAGGATCATAAACAGCTCCCCATATCCAGAAATTTCTAAAACACCGAGAACTAGAAGGAAAGAAGAAACACAAAGCAGTCACACTTTGAATTCTTGAAAATCACCACCATACACAAACAAGTGAAAGGGACAGTGTGTGAGAAACGAAGTGTCAGAAGTGATTACGATCATCAACGACTGTCACAGAGACTGCTCTGTGCCCTGGACGATGCTCAGCAGTTTCTATTCACCGTTTCTTTTAAACTGGAAAGCACTTAAGTTTCGTTTTTCTTCTTAAAAATAATTTCCATTATCTGAAAAGTATTAAAATTTATAAAATAAAATTTATTTTATAAAGAAATGTTGGGTCAACATTTTCAAAATGCTAACATTTAGAAGTAACACTGGTTATTTTCAGTCATACTCTCAAATTAGCATAAGTCGAACTGCCTGAAGAGTTCTCTAATTCTAATAAAAATTCTGCTTGATATATGTTTATCATTCTTAAATTTAATTCACTAAAATTCCTAAATATTGCTTTTSTGCACTGTTATGGAAATTACCTCTTTATTAATATTGAGACCATTACACATTTATAAAACCAAAAAGAATATTACTCTCTCAATTAATCTTTGTGATTCAATTAGATGTTCTGATTAGGTATTTTTGTCAACTATTAACAGATTTTTAATCTTTATACATCTAGGTAAAATAATGCCTAACTGCCAGGAAATTTTTCTAACCAAATTTAGTAATTTGATGGACTTAGTAAAAATTAATATGGTGTTTTACAATGGAAATTGCCATTAACTTTTTAAAAATAAATAACTATAGATATAAAGATTATAATATTTTAAAGTTCATTTTCTTTGGAAGACAATAATTTATTTTAAAGTTTTCAGGTTTTCTTCTGAGATACATGTATTTCTCCACTTGAAAAAGAAATTAAAAGTGTTTAAATAACTTTTCAATATGGAAGCTGAACCCATCAAAGCCAGGAAAGATCACATGAGACTGGATTTTCCAATATCTGCTTCTCCAACTTTTTACCACTAAGAACTGCTCCTGGACTCTGGCCTACAGCAGATGGAGCACCAATGAGCTAGAGGTGACAAATGGCACCAGGAAAGCTAAACCAATTAAAGATTAGGACTGTGAGTAACTGGTCACTATGACTTCTACCCCAACACAAAAAGACTTTGTTCCCTGGAGGGGCTTTGAAGATCTGTCAAGAAAACTTTCCAGTTCTGAAAGGTTAGGAGTTTTCTCAACATCTCAAGCAGTCATCTTTTCCATCGAGCATCCTAACACAAGGGAAGCAAACAAAACCCCAACACTGACCACACAACTCCAACTCTGTCAACAACAGACGTGGCATGGCACCCCCTGCTGGTGGAACACGGACGACAGCTAGCACCTCACTTGGCCAGTCCAGGATTTCCCCTGTTGTCTGTTTTCTACATCATGTCTTCATTCATAGAGGTAAATACAAGCTACCTGTGCAGGATATCTAATATAACACTATGAGCATGGTAGGCACTTGAGAGAATTAATCAGAACAAAATCTATTACGTTAAATTACTTAACTGTATGATCGATCCATGGCATTGTTTAAAAATTATTTATGCTATTACTTTCTTGGCAAAATCTGTTCTGTCATTGTTGTTTGTTTTGGTTTGGTCTTTGAGTTTATTTTTATTGTTAGCTACGAAATATTTTTAAGATAATACAAAACCATATTTCAACACATCGCAGAACAATTTAATTATGAAATCAGACTCCAAACTAATGACACATTAATGTAATTTTTTTTCTGTTTTAAATCTAAATTTATTTTTAACTAATAAGTAAAAACATAAAAACCGTACACATTTATGGGTACTGTGTGATATTTCAGTACATGTATGCTAATGTAGCTTTAACAGTGAGATACCTGTAGTTATACAGAGCTAACTTGTACTCCGTTCAGATGACTGCACAGACTTTGGCTGCCCAAACGTTGGACATATGTTTTAGTGAATGCAGCCTTTAAAGGTTTTAACACAATCCAACCAGGAAAACTATTAAGCTGTCATCTCAGGAGAAAATGATACAGACAGGCAGACCATTAGGTTTGCATATGACTGAAAGTGTAACAGTGACATTCAAAAAGCAGTGTATGTATTATTTCTTACTCAAAATCTACAACAAGATTTTCTCCCTACAGATAATTTAATCTTATCATCCTGAGTTCACCAGCCTATTCTGACTGCTGATAAGATAAAGTAAGAAAATAACACTTTGGATATCTAAATGTAAAGCTAATAAAAAGCCAAGGAAACATCAAAGCTGGCCTTTACCAGTTTCTGAGGAATGTCAAATATACATTTAAGCACAACAAAGGATAAACTCCAAACACATACATTTCATTAATCGAGAACATATTAATCAGTAATGCTACAAGATATTGTTGAGTTTCAAATATCAACACACATGAATTAGATAAAATCTTGAGCATTTTCATGTTTAGCAGCCAAATGCATCTGACAAGTTAGCCAGAAAAACCTCACAATTAATCCCAGGCTAACCAATGCCCCGTAACCACTATTAAACAGCATGACCTGCACACATGACTGGATCACTGGCTGAGACTCCACTGGAGAAATATCAGTGCTAAAGAACAGCCATGAGCTCCAGAAAAAGTCCTGAAAAGTCCATTTTGGCAAGGATGTTAGTGATGGGGTTACAGATATTTTAAT